TTAGCATTCGAGCGCGATTTCTTTATTATTATTTTGTACTTTTATACACACAGACAGACGGACAGACTGATATATATACACGTATATATGTTCCCATATAGATATGCATCTGCACCTTTTTATTCTGTTGCTACTCGAAACTGGCATTTGCTTTCGGGTGTTCCCCATTGACAGCAATTTGCCACTGCGTATAATTTTCGTATGCCATATTATTCATTAGCATTTGATATATGGCTATATAGATCTATATATAGATATATATATATATATATATATATATACTAAGCGAAACCCGATATCAGTTAGTTGTTTAATTGCTGTGCTTAAACTTATTTTCGTAATTGTTTAAATATATCTTTGAGTCAGCTTTGTGGCTTGAGTGCGTTGCATGTTGCAGGGGCGCACTTAGTGCCACATGCCGTCATTTGTGAATATGAAATATGCAGATTTAATGTTTGGGATGAAGGCGCATTACGTATAACTGCGTCATGCGGGGCATCTCAGTATAAGAGTGGGTTGTTACTACCCCTGGCTGAGCAGTCCTTTTCTAGATTTACCAAAAATTCAATTGAGAGCGTATGCATGACTAGCAGATACCCTGAGTCTTAAGCTAAGCTAATGTTTTAAGCATTCTAGACTACAACTGATGCCAACACGCACTTAAGTGCAATTATTATATAGCTGCTTACTATGAAAAGTATTCTGATTGAGCTTGGCTTCGAGCTCTGAGATGTTAATGAAATTTCGAGAGCATAAGTTTGACACTGAAAGCTGTGTGTATACCATTAAGCAGATCTTTATATTTAAAAATGCAATTTTTATACCCATTGAAAATGCGAAATCAGGGCATAATGGTCTTTTAGTTAAACTTTTTAGACTTTGAAGGAAGATATATAAAAAAGAAATATATAGAATTTGTATATTCATATCCTTAGCCTACACATCAATTTTAGTTCCTCCAGCTTTTATAGTATTCGAGTTATGTAAGAGAAAGCATAGGAAAAAAAGTAATATTTTTCGATATTAAAAATATATGAAGAGATATTCACTTGAAATGGTTACTATTTGGCATATACAATAATATATATAATAAATTTAAAGTGTCTAGCGATGTTAGTTGGCGAGGTTGATGGGTTCATAGAGTCAGCAATGGAGTTGGTCACATCTCCTTCTGGCTCGAGCAAACTGCATCTACCCCATTTGCAGCCTCGTCAATGGGCATGGAAATGGTTATGAATGAGTATTTGGGTGAAATGAAGCGCGCTTGGATAGACTTAATATGTTGTAGTGCGCGCCTGCGACCCCAAACAGAGGCCGGCTTCGGCGCTGGACCAATTACTCTTATAAATTATAGAGAAATGAATCAGAGCGCTGCGCTGCCCGACTAATAAATAAAGCAGAAGAAGAAAGAACTGTGCCCTAATAAATGTAATTGGCATCGGCAGCTTTCACTATTTCTGCATAACTGGGTCAAATCGTGAGGGCCGGGCCGGGCCGGGCAGATGCCAGGCAACCGATTTGCCCTGGAATGATGTTTCATTGTAATTCACGCTCGCTGCACATTAATTGTGTGTGTGTACACAAAAGGACATGCGACTCCGTGTGCGAATATCCTTGGCGACAAATGGACTTGTGCTCATATATGTATTAAATTTCCATTTCTGAATTTCGCCTATTTGCGTGTTGTTGCAAGCAAATTCAATGAAGCCATCGAGCTGGCATTTCATGTAGTTTCTGCTTTTCTTTTATTTATATCCTCCATCTGCTTAGGCTGGGTATATTGGTGTTGCTTGGCATATCAGAAAGACTTTCAATTGAGTTGAGGGTATAGGAGTATAAGACTGTAAAAGTATGAAGATTGTTCAGTATGCTTAAATCATTGACAGCCTCTTCTAATTCCATGAAATCTATGGAAAATCGCATCACATTTTAGATATGTGAGCATAGGAAGAGGCTTAGTTCATAAATTTGTCAAATTGAAGTTGAACTTCTTCTACTTTGTGCTTTTTCCTTTGCCCAACAGAGTGCGTCTGGTGTAGGTATCTGTTAGTCGATCACTCGCGACTACAGCTCGCCTTGTTTTCCTTCCTTTCTGATTTGCTGCCTTTCAGGCCAGGCTCTTTCTTTTCATATTTGTGTGCTGATTGGGCGCGGGGGCAGTTTGCCTCGAGTGTGACCCACATACGCATTGTAAGGCCTCTCCGGCTCCCACTGCCACTGCCACTGGCACTCCTACTCCCAGCCAGGATGTAATGCAGCTCCCTTGGCAACTTCCTCGGCTGCCTTTAGTACTTGGGCCATGTCTAAGGCTCGATTCTCTCGGCGTGTGGTCGCAGTCTTTTTTTCTCTGCAAGTCTCAAAGTCTTTTCTCTATATATGAGCAGAATATCTACCAAAATTTTATAGCGCCAATTAGCTAGATGAATTGAATTTTTTCTGTCTTTTCTTTCTGCTCGCAGTCATTCGGCCAGATTCAAGTTTATGAATATTCAATGAAGTGTGTGCCATAAATTATAAATGCCATTTGTTAGCGTGGCTCGTGTAGGTTTTTATGGCATTAAAGTCAAGTTGACAGCCGAATCGTGCCTGACGCCGCCTCACGCCGTGACACGAAGTGCCCATGAGCTGCTCTAACTTTAATCGAATTACATCTTTGAATTTAAGAATTTTGCATTTAAGATTTGCCATTCGATGCACTCAGGAATACTTTGAGATGAGTTCTAGATAGTATCTCTGGGGACCTTAAAGAAAAGGCCTTAATTTTCTAAGATTTTATATTTATATTTTTTACATATTTATATATCTATAGATCTATAGATGAAATACCCTTAAATTTATACCAATTTAATGAGAGTCCAAACGAGCATTTCCCAAAGCCAATATGCTCCCTTGCCACGGGCATAATAAATATGGGAGTTAAGCAACGCTTAAGCCTTTAGCCTTTAGCCTTTAGCCTTTAGCCTTTAGCCTTATCCTTTGGATATGTCGCAACTTAATTTGAGCTAATTTATGCATGTTTATGCTCAACTAGAATGTTGCCTGTCCAGATAATTTGATCTGGGCGTATTAGCATAATAAAAACGTTAAGCTCTTTAAATTATATGGCACAAGTGAAGCCAAAGGATGGCGCGGGGTCGGGCACTTAAGGCATTTAAATAAAAATGATAACTTTATGCAAGAAAGCAACTTCAAGAAAGGGTAAAGTGACAAATGAGTGTGGCTCTGTGTGTGTGTGTGTGTGTGGGAGTGTGAGACTAAAACCGAAATGTCATTACGATGTAGCCAGGAGACGCCAACAGGACGCCAAGTAAAAGTTTTTGACTCGCAAAAAAAAGTATTAGAAGGTCTCTGCGCCCAGCCGGTGTTGCTGCTGCTGCTGCTGCTGTCTGCCCCTAACTGGCAGTCAGTCGTCTGCTGTCTGTTGTCTGTGCACAGGTTTAGTTTAGCCACCCACACACATGTGTGTGTGTGTATGTGTGTGGGGCAAAACGGTGATAAATGGCGCCAATGTGCCGACTGAAGTCGCGACGCATCGCAATTTGAATCGAAGTTGAGTTTTGTTGGGAATCTGCGGCTCTGGCTCTGACTGTGCTTTTACAGTTAGTTTGGTTTTGTAATGCTACATTTAGTTTTGGATACCACGTATCACCAGAGCGCGTTCTCTTTGCATATTTTCTCATTTTGTAATGCTCGCTTTGTTGGTGAAACGAGTATATTGGGTTAGGTGTGCTTGCCAGCTAGAGCTGATTGAAGTTTGACTGAATTTTATAGACTTGTGTAGCCCATAAGGGGCGTGGCCAATTCGGGTATCTATATATATGCAATATATGTAATATATATCTATAGATATATAAATATATATCTATAAGTCTTGCAATGTAAATGATATTATTTGAGTCAGAGACTTGGAATATAAGAAATATATGAGTGTATATAAATTTGTAGAGCTATGCTCACTGTGGGCGTGGCAAAAGGCAAATAGTCTGACCTCTATGGAGCAAGAAGACATATAGCCACGTCTACTGCTGCCTATGTGATGAATTACTATATAAAGTTTGTACTATATAAAGTTTCCATGCTCAAGAGATACTTGAACTCAGATTTGTTCACATAAACCAAGAGCTCATAAGACTATCTGGGTTTTATGGGCTTAACTGTAATCTTTATAGTTGAAACTTGCAAAATGTGAGGAGAGTCTAAAGACTTATTAAAAGTTAAAGCACCATATCAAGGGGGGCGTGGCTGATAACTACAATAGCAGCTTTACGCGTTCAGGGTATTTGCTAGTCGGACACTGCCGCCTAGAACACACTCCCTCCCTCTCTCTCTCTCTCTCTCTCTCTGTCCACTCTTCTGCTCGCCAATGTAATCGATGACAAATCCACACTAAAATGTGTTTGATTATTTTATTTTTTGGTTTGTAATTGTTCTAGGTTTGCACCTGAGCAGCGGGAGTGAGAGAGCTAGAGATAGGGGGGAGAGGGAGAGGGAGAGGGAAGGCGTCGAGATTGGCAGGTCGATGCTAGTCTCGCCGTTTAGTTCGTTCTGTGTGGCTCGTCGATTTTGCTGTCATTACGTTGCGCATGACGATATTTATGACTATTGTTATAAAATATGAATTGACAGCTTAAGCGACAGGCAACAGCAACGGCAACGGCAACGGCGACGGCAACGAGGCAGAACGACGACAGCCAAGTGAAGACGTCTTCCAATTAGAGCGCGTTCTCGCTCTCTCTATGTGTGTAGGAAAAACCATAAAAATGTCGTCAGACAATTGAATGGCAAACCGGGAAAAGGAAACGTAGCACAAGACCTTAGCCCCCAGCCAGCTCCCTGTACGCGCCTTGACAGGAAGTTAACGCAATTGCTTACAAATTGTCGTTACATCAGCAGCGCGTCTTGAATTGAATTGCTTAGATCTGCGATTCCTGCGCATCGAGGAGCGAAGTCGAGGCAGCTTAACTAATTTTTGGTCTTTCCATATCATTTTGCTCTTGCAGAATTCCATCAGGCACAATTTGTCGCTGCACAATCGCTTCATGCGCGTGCAGAACGAGGGAACTGGCAAATCATCCTGGTGGATGCTCAATCCGGAGGCAAAGCCGGGCAAATCGGTGAGACGCCGCGCCGCCTCCATGGAGACGTCGCGCTACGAGAAGCGCCGCGGCCGGGCCAAAAAGCGCGTCGAGGCCCTGCGACAGGGCGGCGTTGTCGGTCTCAACGATGCCACGCCCTCGCCCAGCAGCAGCGTCAGCGAGGGACTCGATCACTTTCCAGAGAGTCCACTGCACAGGTAACTATTGAAGCCGACTCGTAGCTAGCACACAGCAAACAGCAAACAGTAGCTTAGATTTCTAGTTAAGAATGCAGTTCATTAAGTAGCTTGGACTTTTTATTCACTTTTATTCAATTTTATCTAGAATTTAAGTCATTTTTAATATATTTTTAGTCATATATGATTTGTAGAGATAATTTAGAAATTAAAAAAAAATATGCGAATATGAGAAAGATGGATTTGGCTGTGTATATAGCTGACTATATATAGTATATATGCTATGTATACTATGCTATGTATACTATACTATATATATGCATATTAAGCAGCTGCGAAAAGAAAAATAGCACCAGTTCACAAAGTCTCCCAGGCTTCCTATTTGCTAGTAGAAACTTGTGAAGTAGATCAGCTGTCTCTTAAAAGTAATACAATTCAACAAGATAATTTAACACTTATATATTTTGCATAGCAGATAGAGCGGACAATAGATTTCTAAGGCAGCTGCAGTCGAAAAAACACGCGTGGGAGTTATCGATAGTTGTTGAAATATAGTTATCGACAAGAGTATCACTTTGGTTAGTGTACAAAGACATTATTGAGGATAGCAGATAGAGCGGACAATAGATTTCTAATACTAAGCAAGGCAGCTGCAGTCGAGACAACATGCGTAGGAGTTATCGATAGTTGCTGAAATATAGTTATCGACAAGAGTATCACTTTTGTGAGTGTACGAAGACATTATTGAGCAGCTGTTGACATAACTAGATTATATATAACTATATAGTATATATATAATTATGCAGTGATATAAACTCAATTGATTTTTGGCAGCTGTAAGATTCATTTTATCTTTTATTTAATTTAGGCAAAATTTACTGAATTGTTAAAATTCCACATTCAAATTGCATTTGCTTCTCAGCTTAGCTAGTGGTGCTATTATATATTTCGCAGCAATTTGCTTGACTTGGCTTGAAACTCATTGACTAACTGCATGTTAAAGTAGCTTAGACTCTTCTTAAACCTTGCTGCTCTAATGTAGTTGTTATTTAAGTAGATTTGAATGCTGGCTTATATAAATAAATAAATAAATATGATGGCAAAAGCTTTCGAGTTGCTTAACTAAATATTTGATTAAGGCTAATTTATTTGATTTTTGTTCGAAGAGGCTTAGCAAATTAAGATCTATCTACATACATATTATTATTATATTATTTTCTTTGAATTAATTTATTTGAAATTTTTGATTTTGTTTTTTTTTTGTGTTCTTCCCGCTTTTTTTCTTTACATTTATCAATATCGTTTTGCGGTTCAGCGGCAGCTACCAATTGTCGCCAGACTTTCGTCAACGCGCCTCATCGAATGCCAGTTCCTGTGGCCGTTTGAGCCCCATTCGCGCATTGGAGCTGGAGCCAGATTGGGGCTTCCAGGTTGACTATCAAAATACGACATTGACGCAAGCGCAGGCCCAGGTGCTTGATCAATTGGCTGGCTCCATGGCGGATGAGCTGAAACTACATCCCGATTTGTTGCAACAGCAAGGGTCAGTTTTATTTATGGTTCTGTGTGTGTGTGCGTGAGACTTTTATGTTGCCTCTTGAATGCATTGCATGTGCTCTATAGCTATAAACTCTGGTCTTGCTTCTGTTGAACTGCTCTATAAAGTCAAAGTTTGTTTGTTTCTTTTGCAACCCAACGATCGTACGGCTGGAGCAGGTTCAGTGCCGCCTCGGGTCTGCCCACACAGCCGCCACCGCCATACCAGCCGCCACAGCATCCGCAGCATACACAGGGCTATGCGCTCAATGGACCCGTCTCGGCGAGCAACTATGGCTCGCTGCAAGCCCAGCAACAGCAGCAGCAGCAGCAGCAGCAACAGCAGCAACAACAGCAGCAGCAGCAGCAGCAACAGCCACAGTGCCTGCTGCATCGTTCGCTCAATTGCAGCTGCCTGCACAGTGCACCTGTGCGAGATGTAAGTGGCCGAGCGACAAGATTAACATAGATCAATCTCTGATAATTTCCACTTGATGCAGGGCCTCTCACCCAACTCAGTTACCACCACAATGTCGCCTGCGTATCCCAATAGCGAGCCCTCCTCGGACTCTCTGAACACATATAGCAATGTGCTGCTCGAAGCCGCTGCAGAGAATGCTGCATTGCTCGTGCAGCAACAGCAACAGCAGCAGCAGCAGCAGCAGCAGCTTGCTGCTGGCCTGGAGGGTAAGTGTTTTGACGTCTCTATTGAAGTTGGCTCTGTGTAGCAAAAGTTTCCCTTTCGTCTATTCCTCTATTTGTTCTATGTGCCTCTGCTTGAACAGATAATAACTGCGCCTCTACTTTGATAGGGCAATGCCTGGAGGCGCTGAACAGTGAACCAATTGACGAATTTAATCTGGAAAACTTTCAGGGTGGCCTCGAGTGCAATGTTGAAGAGGTAAGTGCAAGTGTGAGACGGCAGTCGGAAAATCTTGATCAAAAGCCAAGTTTCTTAAAAAAAGTTGCATGCTTTTTAATATTCCACATATTCAGTGGAATATCTCGATCATTTGCTGAAAGTTTCAATGAAATCCGATAAGTAACAGCGAAGTTATTGAAAGAAACATCTGATCAATTTGACTAAATTACGTCTCAAGCGACAAAGTTTGCTCTATGCGTGTGCACACACACATGCAAATGAATTTGTTCTATGTGTGTGCACACACACATGCAAATGCTTTTGCTATACATATGCACATGCATTCATTCTTTGCATACACATGCAAATGCTTTAGTTCTAAGCAAGTGCACACACACAAATGCAAAATCAAGCAGGCCTTTTGGAATTCTATAAATAGAATTGAAGTGGCGATTGAATTGTGTTTACATTGTCAGCTGTTGCTCTAGTTAGGCAATCGCTCAGTATAACGGTGTCGCTCATGGTGGCGTTGATTGAGGTGGAGCCTGCAATGTTTGTAGTTGCAGGTTCGAATCTGGATGGGTAGCAAATACTCATTTTTGAAATTTTTAAAATTAGGGTTAACTCATTATTTTAATTTTTTTTTTTTAAATTAGGAGCATATTTTTTGTTTATTACAAAATCACTTTATTTGCATAATTTAAACTAGCTTGAACTTACTTTACGCTATTCTCTTGTAGCTGCTGCAGCAGGAGATGTGCTATGATGGACTGCTGGATATAAATATACCGTTAGCTGCGGTCAATACGAATGCTACGAATGTGATCTTAACCAATAATAGTACAAATAGCAGTGGCAGCAACAGCAACAACAGCGTCGCTGGCAATAGCAGTGCAAACGTTCAACTAAATCAATTGCAGGCGCAGCTGCAACTACAACAGCAGCAACAACAGCAGCAGCAGCAACAGCAGCAGCAGCAACAGTTGCTGCTCAGCAACAACAATAACAACAACAACAACAGTCTGGACACAGCGAGCGCAAATCTTAATGCACGTGTACAGTATACACAGCCTAGCGTGGTCACCTCGCCACCATCGTGGGTGCATTAGACGAAGATTTTCCGATCGAAATCGTTTGCCTAAGCTAAGGACAATATATTGTATACACTTTAATCTACTAGAAGGATGGCAAGGAGCATGCAGCAGGAGAAGGAGGATGAGGAGAAGGAGAAGCAGGAGGAGTAGCTGCAGCTAGCTGCCTTTACAGTTTACAAAGTAAGTAGAGCAACTCACAACGTCCTCTCGCGCTCCCACTCTCTCTTCGATTCTGTTTCCAATTTGCATCAAGTTTTAAAAGCAATTCAATGTGACAGTTATGCATAAATTATGTTAATAATGTAAAACATTATGAATATGCAAAAAAAAAGAAAGAAAAGAAAAAGGAAGCTGAAAAGCCACCCCAAAAAAGTGAAGAAAACTCACGCTTCAACACAAATTTCTTTTCACTCTGATTTCCTACAGTTTTCTCTTTATAAGCAGAGCTTTACATATATATATAGATATCTCCTTATATATATATTTATATACAAATCGCCTTAGTTCAGTCCATTTGATTGCTACCTTCTCTCCATGAATCTTTCATGGCCATTTCATTGCCATTTCTGGATTCCTGCCTTACTGCTAACTGCTGACTGCTGAATTCCCGTCCGACGCTACTTGAGGGCAATTACACGCGTTCAATTATCATAATACAATGTCAAGTGCGCCTCACTGACTCCCACACGCGGCAGCAAGGGCGCTCAAGGCACGACTGCCAGATACCCTAAGTTCGATAGAGGCCAAAAATTGACCAAATTTGATGACTCTTTAAAGTCTTTTGTTTTTAATGTCTTATACTGTCATAGAGCTACTCTAATGCTCTTATACTCATGTAATTATTTATTCTATTACTCTCATACTCTTTCAACCTTTCGTGCTTATACAATTATGCTTACATATTACTCTTATACTCTTGTATTATATGCACTTATATGATGCTTTCATGTCTTTTGAGTATGCATACTCCTATAATCTTATATTCTTAAACTTATACGCATACTAATACTCTTGAACTCTATTCTTTACTCACATTAGGAAATATTTAGACTGATATACTCAAAGATTCCCAGATCTTACAGTATAAGACTTCGAAATGATGAGACTATATAAGACTATAAAATTATTAGAGTATAATTGTATGCTCTTATACAGTAATAATCGAAGTCGTGTTAAGCTCTTAAACTCTTATGCTCCTACAGTCTTATACTTCAATAGAGGTTTACAGTCTTATACTCAACTGCTTACTTTAATACTTTCATACTCTTGCACTCTTATACTGCTCTAATCTTATACTCTTCTTGTTGCATGCTCCAATAATCTAATACTCTTACACTCTTATACTCCTGTAGTCCTACACATTGAATCGCCTTTAAGTTCTTCTCAAGTATTTTGTACTCTGCATCCATTGGATGCTCAATGCACTTGGCCAGCAACAATATACCCAGCGTTTTGCGTAGGCTTAGGGTATAAAATGAAAACAGGATGAATACACGTTTAAAGTATTTAGGTCGGTTTTTGTTTTTGGCTTTTTCTTTTTGAGTATTTTTCAATTTGGCACTTTAAGGGCGGCGCGTGCTTGAAAATTATAGGAAATTAAGTCAATTTACGGGAGTCATAAAATATGTAAAAGCTGCTAGCGAGCAGCGCTGACTGTGGCCGTTGGCGTTCAAGTGTCCTTATGCCAGGACTACGCTTCACCTCAGCTCACCTGGCGCCCCTCACACCACGTGTAATGGCCGCGCTAATTTGGTTGGCCAAGCGGCCCGAGGCTTCGCTCGGCAGGTCCTTTAGCGACCGCGGCGCAAATTCGTCAAGGCAACCTGAGCCTGTGTCTGTGTGGGTGTGCGTGTGTGTGTGTGGCACAGCAAATGCTGAAAAATTAATTACGTCCTTAGGGTGACTTATGCACGTCGCAAGTTGTCCCTAATACCGGCTGCCGCCTCGGCTGTTGTTTACCTGTTTCTACCTGTTTGCCTCGCTCAAATCAAGTGTGTTAAGTGCAGCTAATATTGAAAAATTACTTTGCATCGTCTTTTTTTTCGATTTGAGCTTTTTGGCTTGCATGCTTTAAGCCCTTCAGTTTGTTAAACTTGAGAGATTTGGCTGGTTTTGCTGAGCATCTATCTTGAAGATACTAAGTCAGCTTGTCAGAGAGTATTAGAACAGTCGAGCAAGCTCAGTTTTGTGAAACGAGATTTGTTAGAGTATGTTTTGACGCTTACACAAAGTGGCTGGCTGAGATAAATCTCTTGCTCATATCATTATTTTTATTGGTAGGGTGTATGCACAGTCGAGCATGCACTTAAGCTAATTGAATTCATCTGTGGTTCATAGCTATAGGGTATTTGCATAGTCGAGCATGCCCGTTTATTGGTCGAGTGTGAAATTAAAGTTTCTACAGCTCACTTCTTAAGCCTAAAGTATTTCTCTTAAATATTTCTATACAATAACTTTTCAATTGTAGAGTATATGCATAGTCGAGCATACCCGCTAATGCTGTGGCAGCATTAGTCATTTTCTTAGCTGAGGCAGCTTCAACTTAACCTCAAATAACTCTTAAATATTCATTTATATTAAATTTGTTCACTTTTTATTGGTAGCGTGTGTGCATAGTCGAGCATGCCCGTTTGTGGCACTCACTTTCATTATTTCCATCATTTCTTTCCTTTCCACAATGTCAGTTAAGCTGTCAGTGTGCATTTTTGCTTTGTGCCTAAGTTGCTGGCTGGGGCAAGGGCAGCAAATGGGGCGACAAAAAACCCAAAGAAATGCCATGAAAAACTTTTGAAAACGTAGCGCCAACCCTCGGCCCCCCGATACCCGCCTAGCTGCAATACGCACAAATTGAATTCCACATTAAGTTTTGTAAGCCAACAATTAGAAAACAGCAAAGCGACCAGAAAAAAGCGATTCTACAAGACTTCAAGTTGCCAAGGCAGAGCTGGAGAGAGGGAGGGGCAGGGGTAAGGTAGTCAGTGGCAGGACAAAGTTGTAACTTTGTCAAGTTGTGGCGCCAATCGTGTGATGTGCTAATAAAATAAAATCAAATCGTCTTTGTCACGGAAATCGGGGGGAAAAGCGGGAAAATTGTTCGAAATTTATGCCAAGTGCAAAAAACTTTTGTGTTTGGCTGCCGCCGCCGCTGCTGCTGCTGCTGCTGGTGTTGCTGCTTCATTTGAGTGAATAATTTGAATTGCAAGCGCAGGCATTGGGAGCTAGATTTACATTTTTTCCATTTAAACATCTTTCACTTTTATAATTTTGACAGCAGCAGCAGCAGCAGCAGCAGAGGCAAACTGACTCAATATAGAAAATTTAGAATTTTCCATTTTTTTTTTCGATTTTTTTTATTATGCAAATGCCTTAGCGTTGACTCTCTGCATATCTAATGACCTCCAGAGTAGGCACTCTGCTCAGGTAATGTCTAATAAGCCGCCCGCGCGACACATGTCAATAGAAGCGGCTGAGCGAGTTGCCATTGTGAAATTGCAAAATGTCGGAAATCACAATTTGCTGCGGCTGCTGCCTCGGCCTAGCTCCTTGTCGTCCTCATCATTGACTCCGACTTGACACATAATAAAGTCGCACAACTTATGGCTGCAGCAGCTGCCACAGAGAGAGGGAGAGACAGAAAATGGGAGTGGCAATTCAGGGGCAGAGACATCTCTTTTCCACGCTCTCAGCGCGATTTGCCCTCCGGTTGCCCCGGTGAAAGCGCGCGTGAAATACAAAAGAATTTTAGGGCAATTTATTAGTTGAAAAGCAGCCGCAGCAGCAAAAAAAAAACAAGCATCTGGCATGACCGACTGCGTAATACTCGGCAAAGTTTTAGAAATATCTGTAGCGCAGAGTCGAGCTCTAAACTTAAGGAAGCTATGAGCCTAGTTTCTTAGAACATATCAACTACTCCTGCAAGGGTTTCCTAGTTTATCAGCCAAGTCTCTAGCTTCAATAGCGACTCAATAAATAGAGCATTTTGTACATCTAGAGTCGAACTGACATAACTATGTAGGTATAGTATTTCGACAGATATTTAGAATATGAAAAATTTGAAATTTGCAGCTTAAATGACAGAACTAATATACTCCCTTTCAGCTGCTTCACTGAGTATTAAAACGAAAACCAAAATGCGCGATTTCTGTTACTTTGCCTTATATTTTTTTCTGTGTTTTTCAGATGCGAGAGTTTGATATTGTAGGCCTTGTTCAGGGCTATGCCTAGGCAACGTTGACCCAAAAGTTTTTTCTATTCATTTTTCTCTTCAGTTCCTGAACCCATGGCAATAAACAGGATATACTCTTTCCTGTGGGTGTGTGTGCAACAAGCAGAAGAAGGAGAAGGATATAGAGTATATAAATATACCAGATCAGGATAATTGATGCTGATGTTGCTCCGTAGAAATGTGTAGACTCTGAGGGTATAGGTGCTTAAGGCTACTTGAGAATAATTGTATAAGAGTATGCAACTAAAAGAGTATAAGTGTGGAAGTGTATATGAAAAAGTGTAGTATAGGAGTATAAGACTATGGGGCTAACAGTGTATAAGACTATGTGTGCATGAAAGTATAAATGTATGAGTATAAGACTAGTATAAGAGTGTGAAAGTATGAGCGTATAACACTGCAAGAGTGTGGATTACAGGAATTTAAGAAATATAAGAGTATAGGACTACAAGGGTATGCGAGTATAAGAATAAAATATAGAGTATGATGCCCGAATATACAAATAGAAGAGTAAATATTATGCGAGTATAAGAGCATATAAGTATAGCAGTATAAGAGTATTAAAGGATAAGAGTTAAGGACTATTGGAGGAGAAGAGTCGATAAATCGATAAATCGATAAATCTAAGCTGAACTGAGTCTACAAATATGATATATCTAAAGTATTTAAATATATAGAGGGTAATTCATACTTTGGCTACTGCCTCCCATTGCCCTTAAAGTCAGGGTAACTTGCAGTCGTGCACCCCCAACTAAATGGCTGAAACTTGTATTTTTTGTTGGTCTTCTCGAGGCATCTTCCGCAGGTGTTGCAACTTGTCCGCAAACTCGCTAAATAATTCAGGAAGTCAACTTTGTGTAGCCAGCGACAAGTTTTTGGCCAAGTCTATTTGCTGCTGCTGCTGCTGCTGCTGCCTTTTTCTATTGTAATTTTTTCGGGCACATTTGATTAAAATTTAATGCGCGCGCATCATTAATAAATGTCTGGGGAATTTTTTGCTCGACTTGCGGAATAAATTGAATTAGCCGCTGTCCCTCGAGGCTTCGAGCGGCCAATTCAACTCGCGCTCAGTGTAAGGAAAAAACTGATTATGCCTAAGCCAAGGTGACAGACCAACTAATTGACAGCCAAAAATGTTTCAAGCGACAATTGAAATGGTGTGTTTAAGCGATGTGCAGAGCTAAGTGTGTGTGTGTGGGTGGATGTGTGCGGAGGTGTGTGTGTGTGTGCGTGTGTGCGTGGGTCGACCGCAAGCACTTTTACACACACTTAACTCGGCTCTGGCAGTCTTGAGTGCCAGCAGTTGCCAGAAGGAGGTGTTGAAAAGGCTGCCAAGACACAGACACACACACACACACACCCACACACACATGTGCATGCAGCGAGTGCGTGCGAGTGAGACAGCAAAAGGGCTTTTGCACAAGCTGCTTTTGAGAGCCTTAAGCATTTCACACACGGCGAACACTTGTTACACTTGTTGCATGAACAAAGGATAATGATGTGTCAGACAAGAGAGGGCACACACACACACACGCACACGCACACACGCTGGCAACTTGTTTGTAATAAGTAATAAAGCAAACAGGCCACGCGCGCTGGTAATAAAGTTGCAAGGCCTGCAGCGCTTACTCAAGGTGCTGGCAAACAGTTAAGCAACTGTGTGTGTGTGTGTGTGTGTGTCAAATGCAAATATGCCAAGAGGCGTGGCAACTAATCACAGCCAAGTGTAGCTGAGGCAATAAACTTATTTGATGACGCCCATAAGTAGGCAATACTTTTTTTCATACTCTTTGCTTGAGGGGCGCGCACATAAAATTCAATTGCTGCTTATAACGATTTGCAGGAATATATCTATAGCTGTATATATATGCACATACAACCTAAAGGCGACACTAATAAAATGACTGATAAGCATAAAGCTTTGATTTTTATGCTCTAGCTGCCGCTGCCCTTAAAATTTATTGTTATAGCCGCGCCGCGCCGCTCCGAGCAGCTAAATTCTCGTTTTCAAATGTTTAGCACTTTCCATTTTCGTTTTTATAACACCATTTGATGCCCTGGCAGAGGCCTCTTTTGCTAGTTTTTGCCAATTTGCATAAAAATTGGCAAAAGCAGAAAAAAATGTGTAGCCATTGAGGCTTATGGCCACAGCCTCGCCCGCCCCACACCCCTCTCTCTCTCGCCCTCTCTCCCTCTCTCACAACATTTGCTTATCGCTTATGAATATTTTGACGCCAGCCAAGTCAAATGTCAAATGCCGAAATGAATAAATTAGCGCCCTCATTTTGCGAACGCTGGACAATTTTTGCCCAAACAGGCTCTGATTGTGATTGCGACTTGATGAAGTGTGGATTGCTCTTTGGCGGACTGCCTCTAGGAGGAGGAGGAGAAGAAGAAGAACTAGTTGGAGTGACAACTATATAGTGGGATGAGCGAAACTAAGTGTTAATCACACGAAGGCTGCTTCCATATGCAGAGCTTAAGATATGAGCACACATGCGCCATCTATTGCTCAGTTTATGCAGTCTCTCTAGAGTCTTCTGCAAGAAAAACTAGCCAAGAGTGGGGCATGAATAGGGAGTGTTAGACTTGGAATAATCTGGAAAATTGCAAAGAGCGAGCTGAATAGCCATACTATATAGTACTATATACTATATAAAATAAACACAATTTTTAATTTTTGTTTAGTGGGGGAAACTTGTGACAAATGGAAAATATTTATTATCTGAAAATTTATTACATACTATTACATGCTTGCACAGAACTAATATACCCTATCTAAGAATATTCTCAATGAATTTTCCCTTTTATTCACTCAACTAATTCAAACTCTTTAAATTTGTTTCATTGCAGGATTTATCTGGTCGCTTCTAATTTAAAATATATGCAAACGCACGCACAGACACACACACACACATACAAAACATACATACGTATAGCATATATATACACATATATATGTAGATTTATATATCTAGAGAGAAACGTACCATAGCAACTAATATCCAATGTTTAGCGCTTACAATTAGTAGAATTCTCTGTGCATTACAAAAGAAAAAGAAGAAGAAAAACGAAAATAACAAATTTATTGAGAAGAAAATCATTTGAAAAATTACCTTGAAATTTCTTTGAAAGAAATTTCAATTGCATTCATAAAAGAATTAAATTTATATATATATAATATATATATAGAAAAGCATAAAAGGAGAAACCATTGCAAATATTGATAGTTCGTAAGTCTTTTGTATATATTAATTTTAATAACCTTAGCGTCAAGTGAAACACAAACAAATAACAAATGAAAAAGCGTAAAACGTACATAAAATAGAGAAACAACAAACTTTTAAACAAAATTTAACAAAACTTAACAAAATATTCAGCTAAAAGTAAGAGAAAACTAAGGAAAATAATTAGCGCAAATTGCAGGAGCGAAACAAATAATAGCACCAGCGGGACATGCATAACAAATTCATTTTCTATTGCTACATTTTTATAAAATACAAGAAAAACTTTACATAATAAAACATTATCAATTTAATGGGGCTTATTCTAATTTTGTTCATGCTGGTGCTATTATTTTTTTCGCAGCTGCAATTATAGTGTGGAAACAAATAATAGCACCAGTCAGGCAATTAAATAAAAAACGTCATATTTTCTTAATTTTCATGTAATTATATTTAAAATATCAAATAATATTCTGAATTTGGTTGTATATTCATAATTTGTGAGTGGTGCTATTATATTTTTCGCAGCAGGAAAGAAATAATAGCACCAGTAAGACACGCTCTTGCTCATCAAAAAAATTCATTTTATTTTTTAAATTTGTTTATAAATTAATAGGAAAATGTTAAATATTATTGTAAGCTTTATAGCATTAACATATTTTGCGCGTGGTGGTGCTATTATATATTTCGCAGCAGTTACTCTGCAGCAACAAATAATAGCAGCACCGTGGCAACTTTTCAAATCAAATTAGTTCTTGTGACTGTTGGTGCTATTATGATTTGTGTAACTGTAATTCTATAATTTTCGCTTATTTAATTGATACACCCACACCCACACATATGTACGTATAACTGTAAATGTATAAACTCTTGTAGAATGCTTAAAATGAAAGTCTATAAATTGTGTGTTTGTAGACTTCTGCAAATGGAATATGAATATGAATATGAATATGACTATATATACGTAATATTCTCTCTGGTACTGCTCTGTATATAATTTCAAGAAAATGTTCATTTTTGGTGTAACCCCAACTAAAACTGTGCGCTATAAACGTTTGTTTCTAATAGTTTCTAGTGCTATAAAAAGTTAATCAAAATAAGAAGAGAACAAGAAGAAAAAGAAAAAGATAAACACACAAAACAAATTGAATGTAATTCATAAAATCTAGACTTAAGTATATGTAAATGTAAATGTTGCTAGGCAAAAGAACTAAACAAAAAGAAGAAAAAAACAACAAACAAAAAATAAGAATATATATATACATATATATATATATATATATTTATTTATATATATATATAGTATATATATTATATACCTAACTATAGCTATATCTATTGCGCATATTTGTGTACTATTATGGGCTAAATGTTAATTATTAATTAGATTGTACAATTCAAATTGTAGTTTATAATATTTAAAACAATTACAACAAATATACGTATAGATAACGATGATAATAAAAAACAAAAACAAAAAGTTTTATTACTTATTCATACTCATTATAAGGGAGTATATTGGTTTTGTAGAATGTTCATTCGTCTAAGACTTGATATTTCGAAGTTGAAGGCGCATGACTGCTACATGCTTATTTGTAATTGAGATTCCATTTATGGGGCTTACAGTTGAAGCCAATAATAATTTGGTTTGTCCTACATTTTTTATGTTTTCGAATCTTTTATACAAAAAGAAAACTCTGAAAAAGATGGCAAAAATCTATATTTCAGATATTCACATTGAAGAAATTTCAAATATGGAAGACATGTCAAAATTTGGATTCTTTATAAATGTGAGAAAATAATCACAAATTCAGAAGCAATTAAATTTTGCTAGATTTGAGCTGCTTTAGCCCGCAACGATGAAGAAGCTATTGCCTCAGTATGTTGTGCAGGTATTGTGCTGCACTATGCGCCATCTGTTGGCTGGTAGTATCAACAGAGCTTCATTTAACAGAAAGCTTTGGTGCTGTTTGTTTCATTGACTATCACACATAGATGGCGCCATAAAAGCTTTCAGCTATTTTGTTAAGGCCCTTTTTAGGCTTTCAACTGTCGTTGTTTGTCGTTTCTTGCTGTTGCTTAAAACTTTTTGCAACTTTTTACTTAATAGCTTTAAGATAATTACTTTTACTTCTTACTTTCATTCTACTGCTAGCTGCTTCATTAAGAATTTGCTTTTAGTTTAAGTAGATGGCGAAAGCTTTAATTCAATTAAATATTGTGCAATTATCTGGTTAAGACATCAGTTAGCTGCTGCTGCCATTGCTGCTCGATACGTTAAGCTCTCATTTACACAGACTGTGCCTGCGTCTGCCATAAGCCATAAAATGGCTTTGTTTGCGGGCATTACATAATGTTTTATATCTGATGAGCCAAATCAACAGGTGTTGCGGTTCAATAACCCACAGCAGGCAGAGTCAAGAAGCTGCCAAGAAGCTGCCAAGACGCTGCCAAGACACTGCTAAGATGCCAAGGGGCGTGCTATGGATTTGTGTGTATGTGTGAAGTAATTCAATGGATGCGTGGCAGGCACAGCGGGAGCAAGGCAAAGAGAGTGGGGGAGCGCACGAGAGAGTCAGAGTCAGAGTCAGAGTCAGTCCTGTTGCGTAATCAACGTCCTTTGCAGGCAACGCACGTTTCATGTTTTTTTTTCTTCCTTCGCTCATGTTTGCCCGTGGACAATTCAAGTCGCTACGCCTTGGCTCCACAATAGTTGTGTGTGTGTGTGTGCGTGTGTTTGTGTGTGTGTGCGCGTGCAGCAATTTGAACCGGATCTGCGTGGACTTATGACCCAAGTCTAAGTCAGCTCGTCCGGAGTTCGCTGTCCGTGTCAAGACGGAAGTCTGCGCTGTCGCTTGATTCGCTTTTGGAAATCATTTCGTACTTTCAACACTTTCCAGCTTGGCCTTAATTTGCGTTTGCTGCTGCTGCTCATCATAAATGCAAAAACCGAAATAAATTCCTTTGGCTGGCAAATTCTTGACCTCAGCCAAAAAGTCTTGCAGCCAAGTCAGCCGCAATTTGAGCTAAATTTAATTGAAACCCTTCGCTCGGCTCATGCATATTTATGACTGCTCGACCCTGGCCGGGCTCCAAGCTGCCCAAATGAAGTCTTGGCACACTTCAATCGCTTATTGAGCAACAGTTGCTCGCTGCCCTTTGTTGAGCTGCTGCTCCACAGGCAACTGCGACTGCCTGAAACTAAGTTGCAGCCTGACAAACTCAATTTTCCATACAGCGCCCATCCTTGCCATTATGCTAATGCGAGGCACAGGCTGCAGCTAGCTAGAACAACTAAGAATGCTGCAGTCGAGCGGCACTAACTGCGTGATACACGCTCGATACGACTCGGTGAGTGAAGCTTAGAATCTACAGCTCTTTCTGTGGAGCAGTTCGATAGAAGATCTATGATTGAAGCAGCAATAAGTTGGACTTGAGCGAGTGAAGGAGTTGCTTGCGTGAGTTAAATTCTCTGTGCTTTTTAGAAGAGCACGGGCAGAGTTATGACACTAGACTGTACAGATGCACTCTCTATTGTCCATGCGTCGGCCAAGTCCATGAGTCGGGCAGTTAGCTTTTTATTATCACAAGACTATAGTCAATGCTGAAGGTGCTCATATTGAGCCAAAGTGAGTTGATTCTACATTTTTATTTATTTTTATGCATTCTTTGAATATTCTACCACATTTGTATATCACACATTTGCATAAACACGGTATATTGGTTGGGTTGTCCAGTAAAAAATGAGTTCTAAGATGAATTATACATATATATTCTTACTCAGCAGGACAAGCTCAGCTTATCTTGATCTCACAGTTTATATGTTGGTCTGTCTGCTTGTCCGTCCTTACGCTAGGACCACTGGCCGTCTCTCTGTCCGTACTTCTCTTTGCATCTCTAGCGGACTATCTGTTTGGCTTTCCGTCCATCTGTTTGACCCTCTGTCTCTTCTACTGCTTGGCGCTTGCTCCGTTTGTCCGTCTACTTCTGGGTCTAACCGTCACTCTTTCTGTCTGTATTTCTCATAGTAAGCTAACTATCTATATACTATATAACTCTGACTATAACTGTATATTTGCAGCTGTAGCTGATATGTTCTCTAAATTTATACAACTCTCCAGGCTCATAGGAGCTTGAGCCTTGCCAAAGTCATCGTAACTCAACGCAACTTGTCACACTCTCAGGCTAGAGACAGCTTATTAGCAAACATACATATATCATAATGTACCCTTTAAGGTGGTGTGCATAGAAGGGTTTGGGGTAAGTCTCGAAGAACTGAAGTGCAGAAGGATTTCGTGTGAACAGCGATTGATCACGACTCAGTCGGAGCTAAGTTCAAGGAGAAAGCGAAAAGTCAAACTTGAAGTGCCCAAAGGACGATTTTTATATACTTAAATAGGGTTTCAATTCCATAACCTGTTGAGTATCCTTTAGTTATTGAAGATGTTGCTCATCATGCTCAACCTGGCAGCAGCAAAAAGCATCAATATCGCAAGAGTTTGCTGTTCCAAAGTTTTTCGCCGCGAGATGTGATACGAACATATATCAAATTGAGAGGCTCTAGTCAAAGCCCATAAGCTCTACTCGCACTTGCTGAGCGAGTATTGTGCTGCGCCTTGGTTGTGGCGTCTCCTGTTGCTGCACAATTGTCAAGGCTCGGCCAAG